GAAGAGCTCCAGTGTTCTTTCGTTTCCATTTCCTGTTCGTTGTGAGTTTGAACAGACACATTATTGTACGCAGACGGTCCCTTTGCGACTTTAGGAGTCACTCGAAACACTCGTGCCTCTTCAGGATGACCATCATCGTCGATACCAGTCTGTATGGCCACAGACGAGCTACCTCTGAACATCGCATCGATCGGTGCGTTACCCGCGAATATGGTTCCGACTGAGTCCTTATCATTGCGTATTGTGGTTAGTGGTTCGAAGACATTCTTCTCGCTATGAAAATCAGATTTGTCTCGAACCGATTCCTCAATCGTGCGATGTGGCTCATTTGAGCGATATTGAACCTGTGATCCTTTCTCGGGAAACATCCTAAACGAAATTTTTCCATCCACCACGCCGAGCTTATCGTTCAATGGCGCCAAGTTTTTACGATGTACGTTCGAGTGTTCGTTGCGTTTGCGAGAATCCTCAATACTTTTAGCTTCGGAGATGGTGTTCTTGTCGATAAAGGGCGCGAATTGCTTGCAGAATAATCGATAATCGAGTCGTCCATTCTCGGTGATCATCTTATTCGATTTATTCTCGTTTTTGTCATGCTCGATCCATGGTGGTCGAGGGAAAGCAGATTTCTGGGTATTCTCGTTCACGTTGAACGAAGGCGGATGAGATTGATTACCGTTTCGGTCGAATATCTTGGCTTTCTCGCGCAAGGAGTTTCCTTGAAAGCAAGGAGGCGGTAGTGCGTTGTCTCTTTGCCAGTGATGACCGAGCGGAGATTTCGGTGTACACGGTTTCTCGATCTTTCGAAATAGCGACGAAGGCGCATGTCTGAAACCTGCATCCGGCTGCGGCACGTTTGCATTTGCGAATGGTAAGCTGTTGTTTGTCATGCCGCCACTGGTCGGTATCTTCTTGTTTACCGAAATCTGAGGAGACGTTTGAGGAGTATTTGGGAAGCGTTTTGTAGTGTTTTGCAGTCTCGGTGACAACTTGTCGATATCGTTCGTGGATGAAGGCTTATCGAAAGCGGTTTTGATGTTCGAAAATCGGCTGTTCCAGTTCTCGTTCGGCTGCGCCATGTCTGTCGTTTTGATATAGCCGAAGGATTTGACGAATGCAGGTGCAGCGTTATACGTTATCTGCGTCTCGTTGTTCCGGTTGATCAATGCCAGGAACTTCTTGTCATTCTCCGTTCTCGGATGGAACGATGGCACGCTAAGATTGGATGCGTTTGTAGTAATCTTATCGCCCACGTTAATGGGACGTCGCAGCACTACACAACCAGGATTATCGTAACCGAGACTGTCGGTTTGTAACTTTAGATAGCTTGGTATGTCAATGGTATTGGCACGCTTGATTTTCGACTTTTTCGCTGCAAACTTGTTGCTGCCGTTATTGCATTTGCTAGCGCTGATCAGTTCTGCGCGTTGCCGAAGTGCCGCCGCAAGTTTCGTCACCTGACTCTGCTCCTCGCTCGTTCTCTTAATCACGGTTTCTTCCTCGTTGCTCACTTTCTCCTGATAACCATTGACGCTGTCTCGATGTTGAATCTGTCGCGTATTCGATTCATCCGTCGTTCTGTGTGCGACTGCCGGCCGATCCACGTAACCAACTTGTGGCGGAATTAGTGGCCGATATTCACTCGTATCCTTATTCCTGTCACGCAACGACTGACGCTGATTAATCACGTCCTTCGTATATTTGTCGTGGATTTCCTCCACGTGTCTTTCGCCGCTCGTCGCGTTACGCGACGTAGATAGTAATGGTTCAGGTCGTTCAATCTGAAATACCTGGTCATTCAATCTCGCTAGGCTCGCGCTGCTTTCTTCCAGCTGCCTCCTCGCGCGTGCGATCTCTTCGGCGGAAACGCCGATAGTGTGTCTGACAGCCCGCCGTCTTCGTCCAGGTAGTGCACCGCTGCCACCGTTCTGTGCCACGATGTCGATCGTCCTGTCACTCTCGTTACTACTCGATTCCTTCTCTTCCACTGGCACCTGTAGCCGCGACAGTAGGCTCGATACCAGTCGCAAGAGATGTAGCTTACTAGTAGGATCTGATACCCCGCCGTGCTTCGTGAGCGTTGCGATGTCCGTGCGTTCGAGCGTCTCGCGCAAACGGGAGAGCGCAGTCTGGATATCCGATAGCAGTAAATCTTCCAGGAACTTGAGCTCGTCCTTCCTCGACACGGGTATGTCGTGGTCGCTGCCGAAAAGCACCTGTTCCATAGAACGGTGCGCGCCGGATCGGTCGCCGACCCCGTCGATGCCGACGTTGACGCCGTGATGCGACGTCGCCGTCGGCTCGTCGCTGCCTCGCCGGCAACCCGCTGCCAGGGACAACTCGAGTGCTTCGCGTAGACGTTCTACCAGTACCGGCAATGAATTCCACTCACCGACTGCCGAACTAGTACCGCTGCTGATGCGATGCTGCTGTCCGTCTCCGTCGTTGATGGTGGTTGCCAATGGAACTCCTATACCCGGTTCTGCCTGCCTTGCGACCACCCCCGGCACCGGCACGCCGTCATCTGACGACGCGCTTCTCGTGACGGTCGCCAGCTCTGCTGAAGAAGAACAAATCAAATGATAATTCAGAATCATTCGCGTCATCGCATTGAGCCTGTTTAATTAGATTATCTAGGAAGATTCATATGTCGGCTTTACTAAATAGTTATTAACTTGAAATGATTTGATTTGAGAAGATTTTAATTGGAATACTTTTTCAATTTTCTACAGCTGTTAATTTCATTATATTATTGAATTATAAATTTTAACGCTTTTATATTTTAACAATGTTGTATATATATGTAATAATTAGATTATGTAACAAAAATATTTTGAGCATTTTTATAAATTATTCAGTTTATATCGCACTCTCAATATAAACTACACAGTTTACACTTTATATCACTCCCTTATTTAAAAATAAACATAATCAAAAAAGAGTGATTTTTTTAAGTTAATATAAGTAAATTTTACTTCTTCTATATCTATCATAAAAAAAGAATTAATCTTATAAAAGAAAGTTACAGTCAAAATCATAAATAAAAAAAGAAAATGATTTTTAAGGGTTGTAAATAATTGCTACCTTTTTTGCTGAAACTCACTATCGTGTCGGAGACTGATACATATAAAATAATGAGTTGTTGAAAATTATATACAAATATTAGATATATAAAAAATATTATATGTATACAAAATTAATTAATTAACAAGGTAAACTCTGTAATAACATCAGAATAAAATGATGCTTTTACGTAAGTGTAAAAATTCGTACCTATATGTTTTTAGATTACGTGGATAAAATGGTGCCAACGGCAAGATACTGCTTTGCTAGTCGAATAGCGGAAGAAAATTCACTGCTTTTCTGCCAGAACGATCGCTATTTTTAATCCGCGATTGAAGAGTCCAAGCATAAATCTTGACAAGTGGTGCTTCTCGAAGACTGAATTATGTACATTCGATATCTCGCGTCGCTGGTTTACGCATCTCGTTTCCTGAAAATACTTTTTTCGCGTCTCATTTCCTGAAAGTACTTCATAACGATTTGATGTTTTAACAGAGATTCTCATCAAGATTCTTCGAGCTTTCAACATTCGTTTCCGAAAAGCACCATTCATGTCACGCTTTACATTCGGATTACAATTCCGCGTATATGTATATTCTGTGCGATTGAAAAGAAGTGCGAGTCTGTGTAGTGTGAATTATTCTAACAATAATAAATGACAATAACCTATCGTACTCGGATCTACCATCTAGTAAGAAATATTTGTCTTAAAAACGGTCCACTTAAATCTTTGTTAAAATTTTCTGTTGAATTTTTAATATATCCGAATGTTAATTTAACAGAATATGATTGTTATTTAAATATTTTGTATTGAATTAATATTCAACCTTTTTTAGATAAATAAAATAATATAATTTATGAAATAAATGGACAAATAACATAAAAATATAAATATTTTTTAAAAAATAAATTAATAAAATGAGTTAATTTAATATATTAAAAAAATATTAAATTTATTGAAGCATGTGTTAATTTAACAATTATCAATATTAATTTTAATAAAAAAATATGATCGCTTACAAATTGTGTCAGTTGAGTTTTTTGTACAAATTTGTTTACATAATATTTATATTACTTCCTAACATATTCATCTTAACACAAAAATTGACACAAAAATTTAAGTGGCCGTTTAGAACATGTGAAAGGTATTAAATTTAACACAAATTTTCGAACTGTGAAAATAATAAGTAAATCAATGACAAAATGTTGTAAATAATTGAAGAAAACACTGTTTTCCTACCAAAACAATATCAATTTACGAGAGAAATTGGATTATAAATTTAAGAAATATAATATCCACCAAACAGCTAAATTGAAACAAAAGGAAAAGAAGAAAACGCGTTATTTTCACATGTCATCACGCGTTTTCGGACATAACACGCTTCGCACTCTTATCGCTTCACGAAGAGACACGCGTTGTCAAGACCACGCACGTCCAACCGCTTCAGCACGTCTCCCTTTGACACGTCAACGCGTTGCACGTTTTAAGAGCGTCGTATGAGCTGGGTGCGGATCGCGGGGAAGTTTGTTAGAAGCATTGTAAAACAACCGGTTTTCGCGCGTGACAATTCGTCCCGCGCGTCATATCTGTCGCGAATTCGCGGCGCGAACTTTCGATATCTCGGACGTCTTTCAATCGTACCGCGATTGCACCGTTAATCTTCCTTTCTTAAGGGATGCGTGATAGCGAATAATCGCGCGGTGAATTTTAACGAGCTATTGGAACACCGTATTTTTACCCGATCGCGATCGTCTGCCGCGCTGCCGCTACTGCTGTCTTCGCGACTTGCCGCTCGCGAAGAGAAGAAAGAAAGAGAGAGAGAGAGAGAGAGAGAGAGAGAGCGGCGCGCGCGAGCGGAGATCGCGACCAAACGCGCGCGCTGACCGGCTTCGGCTATCGCGCGCGTGCTCGCTTTATTTAAAACAACGTACGGGGATTCTCTCTCCGCGGGAATTTATTTTCGGTCGCTCGTTCGACGCCTGTGCAGCTGCTGCGCGAAGCGAAGCGAAGCGGGATGAGGCGGTGCGAGGCGGTGCGAGGCGAGGCGAAGCGAGCTATGGTGAAGCCGCGAAACTACCCGCGTGTACAAGACGAGTCACAAAACTGAAAACGCTGGCGCGTTTCTTTATCACGTGATTTTGCACTTTAGAGATCGTCTAATAATCTCTTACTATCACGGCTCGTCTGTCCTATTAATCTTGTTCTTGCGTTGTTATTGTATCATTAATGCAACCACATGTAGTGTTTCATATTTTTATTTTTGGAAATGAAGGAAATGAAGGCGTAAATAAAATGATGGTTGCGAAATAACGTCAGAATTGAGGCTGCCTGACGTTATGATTTGACAAAAGTAACGCTGGCTAACAATAAGCTGTTCTCGTTTCTTTCTCTACGCGTCATTGTTGTTTGAAATCCCTACGTTTACTGCGGTCAATTAAGTTGATAAAAAATTTATCGAGAAATATATTCTGTTTAACTCGTTGTTCTATTTAAGAATGAGAGAAGGTGGCAGACGAATGTACGCATAGATACATAACATTGGTTGCACCCCAGTTATTGCGTTCTATTTTGCTCCACTGCCCATTTCATTTCTCTTTCCGGATGGAAAAGTTTTCGCAACCTTCTTTTTGCGGATTGCAAACACGCCCGAAAATGACACATTTTGATTTATCAAACGGAACCGAGAACTTTAAAACTAAAGACAATACAAATTTTCCATTTTATACATACTAACGTCTAGCTTGTGATATTTCTCTTCTATTGGATCTTTGTACCAATTTTTCTAATCTCTTTCTTCATACACTATTTGATCTTCTTTTATTCCGTTCATTGTCCTAGTCTAAAACCATTGTCTTTGCTATTTCTATATTCTTGTCTCTCCCTCCCTAATTCCTATTCTTCGCTTCTCTCTCTCTCTCTCTCTCTCTCTCTCTCTCTCTCTCTCTCTCTTTCTTTCTATTCACACATACTGCTTCATTGCGTTCTTGTAAATTTTTCTGTACATTATTCACTATTATAATTATTTTAAAAGATCACAGCGCTTAAGAAAACTTAGTCTTCCAAGAAATAATTCTATTTTAGTCTTTGCAGTACGTAACAATATTTCATATTCTGAGAATTTATATCGGGTATTTCCATTGTAGTATCAGGTAACTGTAATTGTATATCGCCACGAGAACGTAAGATTTGTAAATAACGCGGGAACCTGTAGCGCGACCGAAATAGTTCGCGCGTAAGAAAGTTTAGATTTCCTTGAAACATACCGCGAAACGCAGATCGCTTTATATCCGTGCTGAACTATCCGCTGACGTCGCTATTCAAATAAACGCTTGAACGTCTATGCGAATAATGGCAGCGCTAACGCAAACACGTCGACGACTTAGTGAGCAACGCCGATTGGTTCCGACAAGCACGACGGAGTAAACACACTGTGAACGCAATGCGTGAGTTTGTCGGCAATTTCTTCAAAATTAATAGAATTTCTATTTTAACTGGCGCGCGAGATATCCTAGAAACGCTCAATTTAGTTTCAAATGAAGAATTTTCTAACTTTGAATTGTTTGAGAACAATGATCATATAATTTTTTCCTTAAAGCGAAAAGGTGAAAAGTGAAAATTACCATCGAATATAAAGGAGAAATTTTTCGCTTTTCACATTTCTGTTCTAAAAAATATTACACTGACACCGTTATTTAGATAGTAAAAGTAAATTAATTTTTGTTTCTATAGATACACTGATTATTGCGAAGAATATCACCAAGCCTTCGGTCGAGATAATGTTTTTTGCAATAAATTGTTTACACATTTTAAAATGTTCATCAGTATTATTAAAATCTTTCTAAGATACCTACAGCATCATTTTGTTTTATATTAAATTGCCAACTTGACAATTCAGTTTGATAGTAGTATGGTAGTTCTGTCGGTATAAAGTTTCATTTAAGACCGAAAAATCAATTCGGCGCGCAATTTAACAGAATTTGATACGTAATGTCTAAATTCACACTGAATTATTTAAGCACTAAAGATCCAGCTTTGATCAGTATGATCTTTATTTCTTATTAGTTGTATATTCACATAAAACGATTCAATAAGATTTTTATTGTTTGTAAATTAATTTTTCTTAACTAAAGAAGAGTCAAGCCTGAAGTTAACAGAAACTATGGCCGGTATTCAGTTCATTTTTATATTTAAGGTCATCTTAATTATTGATTATAATGATAAACTAATTACAAATATTAAAGACGTTACTTGAGCAACCTTGATATAAGAACAAATTATGAATTCCGGCTTAAGTTTTCGAAAACGCGGCAAAATATCTTTCTTAAATTCAACGTGCAATTTGCAGAATTAGACATATGTGTAAATTCATATGAATTATTCAGTACATTAAAGAAGCATAATTGTTTACGACTTTCATTTTCTAGTTATTCTTAAATAATTAATATTAGCAATAAGTTTAATAAAATTGTTTTGTTTATCTAGATTCGGCGTGCACGTTTAATAATCCTTTTTCCAAGTTTAATTATACCAAGATATCTAATATTGGAAGGAGGTAACAAAAACACGATGGCACGAGATCAATTTTCGAATTCTCAGAAACTAAAGATTATGCTTCGAATTTTAGCGCACTTTTAGCGATACATTTTGCTACAATGTATGTCGTTCCCTGAATGAATTATAAACATATAACATTTAAGAGCAATTCTTTAATTTTTTAATTTCATATATTAAAAATATATAATGCAAAGTTGTAAGTTGTGACTTTTCTTAGACCAACATTATAGCACATTATAGTGATATCGCTGTTTGCATAATTTTTGCATTACTATTTAATTACTTAATATTTTTATATTAGACTTAAATCATATTGTCATCTCGTATAAAATTTACAATTGACGTTAAATAATTTTCTCGTATAAATTTTTCTCAATCTCAAGATGACTACAAAATTACTTCTTAATGTTACTTGATAAATAGAACGAAGTACTCATCATCAACATTACCAACCTGAGGCCGACGTTTCTTCCTTTTGCGTCTCTTCGCAATTTGGCGTCTCTCTCGCTTTTGTTTCTTTAATTTTTTCTTCTTTTTGTTCCTTTATTTCTTCTTGTTCGGTCGCTTTTACTTCTTCTCGATCCTTCTCCTTAACTTCCTCTTGTTTCTTGTCATTAACTTCCTCTCGTTCCTCCTCTGTTTCCTTCGTAAATGATTTTTCTGACAACTCTGAGTTATCCGATTCCTCTATCTTGCTTGCTACCTCATGGTCAACTTCCGTTGTTTCCGTAGTTTCATCTTGTGTATCATCCTGCTCCGAAGCGTCCTGCGAATCTGCAAAAACGAATTAAAGATAATAAACATTTAGCAATACAAGCGCATGTACGTTAATCGAAAAGAGAAGAGAAGCGATCATCCGCAATGAAAGATGTTTCTTTTGATGAATGAATGGCTTAAAAGATTAAAGTTCTCGATGCGTTAGTCGAAATTTTTTAAATGAAATTTTATATGTCATGACAAATGTTTTAATATGTTCATATTTCTAAAAAATTTATATCCAATTTCTGTATAACTCCAAAGACTGAAAGAACATAAATTAAATGCTCTCTCATAAAATAAAATCTCTCATTAAGTTTTTTTTTATAAATATTCTTATAATTTAATATTTAAAGCATCGTGTTTGAAAAAAAATTGTAAAGTGACTGGATAAAAATATACTGAATTTAGGTATTTTTTTTTTTTTAATCTCAGTCGACAAGAAAAGAATAACTATATGATTCTTATTATTTTTGGTCGATTTTGTATAAAACAGGCAGAGTTTTATAAAGATCGATGACGTAGCTCAGCGAACACTTCTTGTTAATAAACATCAGTGCAGTGGTGAACATAGCGGCATTATATATCACGGAAATGCGATAGGATGTAAACTATTTGTACCCCAGAGGCAGTAGACAGAGATACGTTTTGATTGTGCGAGCGAATGCGGAATCCAGAATCTTTGGTTAATATACGCTCTGCATTTCGTTACATTATGTTGATCATATTGAACATTACATTTTTGCACGCATACGCTGAATTACTCTTGTTCCCGTGACTTCTTCCACTGACACTTGTTTATCTATCTACGATGATACTCAAGCAACATGGTCGTGACAGAGCTCGTAAAGAGGCCCTCACCTTCTATTTCCGACATTTCAGCACTCTGCACCGACTGGACGTCTAGAAAAGTAAACACAGCTATTAGGAAACAATATTTGCAATTTCATTTTCTCCCTACTAATATCAAAAAAATTTATCACGAATCGCTGTTTTATTTAAAAATCTTGGAGCAACAAAAGTTTTTATTTTTCCAATTTTCAATTTAACTATTGTATATATTTATATAAAATAAAAGATCTCATGATTAAAAAAAAATTATAAAAACTTTGACAGTACACAGATGATGTCTTAATATACGTATAATAATACTATTTTGCTGTCAAAATTTATCTTAAAGAGATAAAATCAACTTCTGAAATTTTTCGATCTATTTTTCGTTTTTATTTTCTTACTCATCAAGGAAAAAAAAAATAATAGAACGAAATTGATCGACATATTTCTTCTAATGAAATTTATCACTTATTTAAAGAATTATTAAAAAAAAATGTGTAAACTTAAACCGCAGGAAGAATATATTCTTAATATTCTTATATTTTTAACATGGTTTATATTGTCAAAATTTCATAATTTTTTAAATTTTCGAGTTGTGGCAATCTTCGTATAAATTTGATATAGTTTACAAAATCATTTATCACACTTATGTAATATAAAGCGATATATGAGTTGTCTATGAAATTGTAATTTCATCTATGTTCTTTAAATTCTTCTTCTTCTTCTTTAAATAAATCAAAATATATTAAGTATGCTATGTGTCAATATATTTTAAATATATTTATGTTCTTTTTTTCAATTTTTCAAAATTTACGATAATAGCATTAGACGACTTTGAGGTTTAATTCACAGGTATGATCACATATTGCAATTAATCCGATATCATATCAGATATGCGATACAGGAATCGCAAGCGGATTAAAGTCTAACCGATCGCGTGGCACGCGAATCAAACTCCTACCTTCTTCTTCGTGACGTTCTCAGATTTATTTTAGATTGTTCCCAGATCGAAAAATTTATTCGTTATCAAGGATAACAGAGGCGGAAGAGTGAAGTAGAAACAGTAGTGCACACACGTGGTACACCGTTCGTTCTAACGAGACATCGTCGTCGGCACTTTCGAGGCTTTGAGGGCCGTTTTGCACTAAAATAGCTCTGACCTGTTTTTCGTACGTTTCGGAAATTAGGAAGAAGCGGGCTAGACAGCGCGCTGATTTGCACGCGGGACGACCATGATAGGTAGGCGGTAGTGGCGAACATGGTGTATGCCACGAAGTCGTACTTTATAAATAGGCGAGTTGCAGCGTGTAGGTAGAAATCTCCGAATGCTACCGCGAGGAAGTGCTCGCGTTTCGTTCGTCACAGAGATTCCTCGTTGAGATTACCATTGCGATTTCGCGCGAATTTTCCGTTTAACAACGAATGAATGGGATCGCCAAGGAATCAATCGAATGAAAAAATTGGGATTTTAACAAAAAGAATTTCATTCATTTGTTCTTTCCACATCACGATTCAATTTATCAATTCTTTAGTAGGAACAGTGGCGACTTATAGAAATGATTAAAAATAACTCAAATTGTGGATATATTATGAATTTAACAATGAGTAACTCTTTCTTTTCTCTATCAGATTAATTTTCTTGAATTTTTAAAAAAAGAAACAGGATGTGGGAACAGACTGGTTGTACCGAAACTACTTACTTTAACAAAAAGATTTTATGAAATTGATAGAAACATGCACGATTTGTATATAATAAAATATTCAACCCATTTAATGAGAAATGACCAGCAATTCGACATCGAATTGATAATTTTGACGCCGATTTGACGTCGATTCAACATCAAATTGATAGATTCATTCCTCATTAAAAAAAAGACACTATAAAATTTTTAATTTTTAAATATTCTTTTAGATATTTTTTTAAATTTTCTTTTTACTTGTGTGGAAAAACTAGTTAAGATAGCAATATTTATTTCCTTATTTTTTGCATACTTTTTTTAATAGACAAATAAGTAACTTTGATAAGGTATTTGATTTGATATCTCAATTCGGTTTTTTGTATACAATCGTTTATTATATACAAATCGTGCGTGTATTAATTTCAAATCAATTTCATCTTTGTATTTAATCCGATTTTATCCTTCCGATCCTGTTTATCGTTACTATGCGTTCCAATCGCGCAGCAGTGACTTTTAGTAAATGATTCTATGTGGCAGCAAGCCAACGATCACTTTACCATCCTGTTACTTAAAGCTCGCCGACATACGATGACGTCCTCGTCGAATTTTCACTTCGTCGACGGTCACGTATTTTCGGATACAGGAATGCAGTTTCCATAGATCGCGTTCCCGTTTTCAGACTTGATGAAATTGTTACTTTATGTACATCACAAAAAAAATCGGAATCCAAAGAAAACGTAATATTTTAAAATTTTAAAGAGAGAGAGAGAGAGAGAGAGAGAGAGAGAGAGAGAGGAGGGGGGAAGGGTAACGCAGAATTACTAAATCCGTTTTAATTGCACATTCAGAAATTTTGATATAATATGTAGACGTAATTATAAATGTAATTACTTCGCTATTAGAATATAACAGGATTAAATTTAATTCTTAATTGCTCTTTTCTTTCTTTTTACATTAAAGATAAAACACAATGATTAAAACTAATCTGAATTTTATAACAAATATATACATATGTCTTTTTATGAAAGAATATGTATAAAGAAATTTTAGTGTGTTTTGTGCGTATGCCAGAAACGACGATACATTTGAAATAAAAATAACGTTTATGAACATCCTGTTTGCTTGCAACAAAGATTTTTGAATTGCTTCTGAACGTTTTTTATAATTAGTTTTCAAGTCAGACATTTCAAAAAATCGGTATTGTAATAGTTATTTCAATAAGTTATTTCTTCTTCGTAACATTATAATTCTATGCTTAACTTTTTTAAGATTCACGAATATATATATATGTACTACTAAATTTTTCTGAAAGATTGACACCGAAAATTATATAATTAAAATTAATTTGCACATTTGTAGATGTATATGTCAAATACATAAGTAAAAAAATTTTCTCTATTATATACTACTATCACATAATCTAATATTATTTTTTTGTTTAACGTCCTAAAAGAATTCAATAATCATTCAATTTTTATCTTTATTTGTCTTTATTATAATTCTAACATTTATACTCATCAACATTCTAATTTTATATAACATTAAGCTTAAGGAAGGTCAAATATAAGATTTTTCGTTTTAATCATCATAAATAATACTGTATTCACCGAATACTATATTCCAAAAGAAATGTATCAATAATTATATTGAAAAATTTAAAATTAATTACCGATATTAACAATTATAAAATACAGCCCAAATGTCGCATCTGACTAATTCCCTGATTGAATTCAAAATGGACTACTAGTTACTATTTCGGAAGGAATTACGAATTCGTGAAAAATATCGAGATCTCCAAAGAAGGACGGATATGAAAGGGTTGATTTTACCTTTATGGATCGGAGGACCAGTGTCGGGTGGCAGTTGGAGGCCCAAGCCTTCAGGAGACTGCAGCGAGCAGCGGTTTCGCTACCACCGAACCACCGTTCCGGTGATTATTGCTAGCGGCGGTGGTGGTGACCGTCGACGCTGGATGATGCTCCACTATCAACGCCGCCGTTAAAAGCACAGCGTCACCAAGCCCGAAATTAGACGGCCCGAAATAGCGGAATTATTGGCGGCGATATAGCATAGCCGGCTTGGACACGGCATACCGCGGTACCCGGCCTCGGAGAACGAGCGGAATACGGTTCGTTGCGCTTCCGTTACCGGAATAATGCGACTCAATGCGATTCGATACGATGTTTGTTCATTTGACATCGACAAATCGGAGGAGGACATTGTGACGTGCTACTAAACGTTCTCTTGTGTATCAAAGAAAGTGGAAGTGATGATGTTATTAAAAAAAAAAAAAGACCTTGTGCTAAATTGAAATGGTTTAGGCGTGAGGAAGAAATCATAATTGTTATCTTTGTTTGCAAGAGTGATTCGTTGTGAATTAAATGTTGATTGATATTGGCGTAATAAATTTTGAATTAATTGTAATAAATTGAATCAGGACTCTTTGTAGTAGAAGTTATAGTGTGTAATTTCGAAGAAACAATCATAAATATATATATATATTTATTTTGTAGGATAATAAAGCAACATTTTAATATTTCTGAAATATTCATTTATTTGGTTTTCTATTTTATATGAAATAACAAATTATAGAATTCTTGGATAATTTTCAAAATTATTATGACAATTAGATTGCAATATATTAGGTGTGGGAAAAAGTTCGTGGCGTTTTTTT